TTGGAAGTAAGGAACTCAATACCTTTTGTAAACTTCATTTGCTGGAGCCCACAGACACACAGTGTGCAGATGAGCTGGAGCTGAGAGGTTGTTTACAACTGAATCAGATTGGTTTGTGGCCTAGAGACTAATTATCAAGGATAAAGGGTTTTCTGCTTGCCAACAACAAGCTGATTTGTCATCAGATAGCTGAACAGTTTAAGCTGTGAACAAGACAAAGAAAGAAGAGAACCAGCAGAGCAGTTAACTAGCAACCAACCAGTCTTAGTTCTTATCTGATGAAGGGTCTAGGCCCGAAACGTCAGCCTCTCTGCTCCTATGATGCTGCTTGGCCTGCTGTGTTCATCCAGCCCTGCACCTTGTTGTCTCGGATTCTCCAGCATCTGCAGTTCCTACTATCTTTAGTTCTTATTCTCTCCAGTAAGCCACTTTAAACCGAAAGAAAACCAGCTTAGCTTCAGCAGATGTGCCAAATTGTGACATTGAATTGGATAAATGAGAGACCTTTCATGAGAGAAACAGCCACCTATCCTTCTATAAATCACTAGAAGCATTCCAAAACTCGAGGTTGGAGGGAAATCTTTGGCTCTGCAAGATCATCCCAACAAATCATGTGAATAAAGACTACAGAACTGTTTTTCTAGTTTGCCCAAGTATTTTTCCCAGTTTATCTTGGTCCATCCACGTATGTCAGGGAGCATTATAACGGCTTTATTTCTAATTTATAGGGATTGCTAAGTTTAATTATTCACCTGTCACGAGCATCTAACAGTGTATAATAAATAGTGATTTCTTGTTAAGTAAAATAGCCATAGCCCCAGAGAACCATAGGGTTGTTCTTTCATTGGAAGGAGCCTGGTGATGAATTTAACCTGAAGGTCACCATGTCTCAGGTGAGGTGAGAGGTTGACAAGAAGGGACCTTGACCTTAATGGTAACCTCAACCAGTGAAGGAACTGAACCCATGTTGTTTGCATCACACTGCATCACAGACCAGCTAACTGAGCCTTTGTTAGGTACACAAACCTGGTCCATACTTCCTATCAATCTGGGGCTGAAAATTGGGTAGTTTGGGCACTTTATATTATTTTTTAAAAAGCTTTTGTGACAACTGGAGAAACAATGGGACTGACTTTCCACTAGCTGACTTTCATCAAGTTTGAAAACTTCTCTTACTCTGGCATTCAGTCAGTGATTTGTTGAGTATGACCCTGACCCCAGTATCCAATTGACTTTCCTGTGCAGTGTCAGTTACTTTAGGATGTGCCCTAACCATGGGTTCTGGTGCCATTGGCACCACATATCGGGAAATCTCAAGCAAGGTGCACATCGATGGTGAGAAATTCACCAGTAGGTCAGCCTACGTTCCCATTGAGACAGTCAGAGGACAAAGATGTTGTTGGTAATATGCATTCATCAAAATTACACTGAGCTGTCAGTTATTACACTTGTAAAATGAGACTTACCGAGACCCCATCTTTCTTCCTTGATGTTGTTTGTGGATCTTGCTGTGTACAAATTTTCAGCCATGCTTCTCACATCGCAACAGTGACTGCACTTCAGTGGTACGTCATTGCCAAACGAGACTTTCTTTGAGACATCCTGAAGGTGTGATTTGTGCTATAAAGATACATATCTATCCTCTTTTTACATTTCGAATTAGCAGCGTGGATTTTTTGGGGTTTTATAGGTACATTTTGCCATCAAAACCATATTGGAAAATTCCAGGTTCAATTAGCAGTTTGTGCTGTGTTGGAACATCGCACTAAAGGCAGTCATAGCACCCCCAAGATTAGAGATATAAAGTAATTAGTCATAGTTGCTCACCACTAATAAGCCCGTGTATGTGTGAGGCTTAATCTCAGAGTGACTGCGTGTCTGTGTGTGAGCTGAGGACTGGATCTGGCTCTGATGCCTTCCATAGTTGAATAGTATGCTGGCCCTGTACATACATGTGGACAAGATGGCCAGATGACAACTGGTAACAATTCACCCCTGAGACTGCAACATTTTAGGTGCAAGGGGAGAAAGAAATCAGTAGGGAGGAGAAAATGGAATCAAATTGAATCAATTGGGTTAAACAAAACCCGATGCGGGGGGGTGAAATAAATATTTGCAAGTAAATGTTACTATGGAAAAACTTAAAACAATTACCGAAATGTTCAATTATATCATTTTAGAAAATTCCTCAACCAGTTCTTTCAATATAAAGATTGTCCAACAGGAGAAAGTATAATTCACATCCACATGGTACAATGAAAGTTCGGTCTTCGAGTCCCTCCCTGTGCCAAGTTTAGTCTTGCAAGTGAGCCACCATAGGTTGGGCACCATGTAGAGGCAAATGAGCTGCCCAGGATAGGGGAGATGGGGCAATACAGTGAGCAAGGCTCGGGGACAGTTCTTGCAGCAAAAGGGGCACCAACAGAAAGTGAACTCTTAATGGGTGTATTTATTGTTGTAGGTCTTGCTTGGCCTTGGCAGGATTGATGGAAGAAGTAATGAGTTTTAAACCCGTGAACTCCCAGAGGCAAGGAGGCATTTCAGTAGCATTGGATTGATAGGGTCTGGTTTTAATCGCCACTGGAACCAAATAAAGATTATTGCAATGATATAAAGCAGCTGACGTGGTAGAGTAATTACGGCAGCGCAGGGACATTTTGAACAATTAAAACAGTGGAGGCAGTGTTGTGAAACATTATCTGCCCAACAAGCGAAGATTAAACACAAAGAATGTTTGTTTTTGAGGAATTGGAGTTAATCATGCCCTCTGCCTTGCTGCGCCTTCTCCCCAGCAGTCACAGAGAATCAGATTGTTGAAGCCCAACACCAGCTGTTTCCTGTTAACAATCTGCCGGTTGAGGATGAGCTGACTGTTTGCATTTGACTCAGCATCACCACTCCCCTCCCCCTCAACTTTGTCCCTCACTGAAGGCCATACGGTTTCTTCAGCTAGCAATTCTCCCTGGCTCCGAGGAGCAATATTCTCCTTTAGAAGCAATTATTCTCTTGGGCTATTTACATTGCCACCATCTCCATTCACAGTGCGTGCTTCACAGGTTAAGCCTTTTTGGTAGCTTTCCAGCTCTCTCTACCCTTGTTCTTTGATCAAAGACAATGGTCTTCAATCAGCTCACTGACTCAGTCACCATATGAGAGCCAATTGCTTTAGTCTTCCTGTTATCATCCCAGAGCTTGCGATATTCAAACTTACTTGTTTTCCATGGATTGCATAGAATCTCTGCAGTGTTGGAGCAGGCCATTTGGCCCATCGAGTCCACACCAACCCTCCGAAGAACATCACAACCAGACCCATCCCCTACCCTGTCCCTGTAACCCTGTTTTTTTGCAGATGCTGTAAATCAGGAACTAAAACAGAAGTCGCTGGAAAAGCTCAGCAGGTCTGGCAGCATCTGTGAAGAAAAATTAAAGTTAACGTTTCGTCTGCTTCCAGACCTGCTGAGCTTTTCCAGCAACTTCTGTTGTCAGACCTAATACTAACATTGCTAAAGTCTTCACTTTTTGAGTGAAGTGTTACCAGTTTTTTGGTTTTCTCTTAGATCATTCTCTGTTGTTTCCAAGAGGGAATAAACAGTCATTCTGGACCAGTGAAAGACCAATGTACTATGGGAATTGAGACCAGTATACAACACTGAACCTTAAACCAGTAACATTAGTACTGGACTAGTAACACTGGACTAGTAATACAGGTCGTTCCACTAGTAAAACTGGTCAAGGAACCTGTTGTGGTATAATGTGCCGGAGATGTGCGTTAAGGCAACAGTCTGTATGCACTAAGTGTTACTGTCTATAAACGCTGCTTCCCAGATGGATTTTCCATGTTTTCTTGGAGTCTAACATATAGACAGAGAAGTCTGTATGTGTGGAAATTTGTGCTACAGAGGGTGTATGTGGCAGCATCAACTGTGGCATTAATTTATGGATTTGAAAGATACTTCCTTAGGAATGGAAGTTAATGTTTGAGCCTGATGACTCTTCATCAGAACTGTTAACAGCTCAGAAAGAGTGGTATTTGTTCAGGTTTTGGAATTGGTTCTGAGGAAGAGTCACCGGACCTGAAACATTAACTCTGTTTTTTCCTTCACAGATGCTGCTAGACCTGCTGAGCTTTTCCAGCAACTTTGTTTTTGTTACTGATACACAGCTTCCGCAGTTCTTTCGGTTTTTATTTACAATTTTAAAGGTGTTAGAAATGCCCTAACATTGTCAGTCCCTGTTAATGGGAATAATGCATGTACTGTGGAACTGTGTATCTCTGATATAACATGTTCAGAGTCAGCTTAGGCTCAGGACATTCTATCTTTTCATACTATTTCACCAAGCATCGGCAGAAAATGAATTAACAGCAGAGCAAGTTGACTATTCATGAGCTGACTGCTCTAGGTAAAGGTGTCCACTTTGGAGGCTCAGGAGATTCAAAGCCACTTCTGGAACATCACACAATCCAGGCTGACACTTCAGTGAGTTTCTGAGGGAGTCGTGCATGGCAAGTGTGGCTGTATTTTTTAGTATGTGACGTCAAATGGTCTATCAAATGGATGTAAAATGTTCTGTACTGTTTGGAAGGAAGCAGGGGAGATCTCCCAGCTGGTTATTTATTATTGCTTGTTGGATCTGCCCCTCTGCGAATGGATGCCTGTATTTGCTGCATTACAACAGTAATAATTTTGTAAAGCATGTTGGGATTGTGAAAGATCTGTAGAAATGCAAGTCTGTCTCTTTGTAAATAGATCCAATAGTGAAAGGTGACCTGAAGTGAGACTCAATGCTTGGCTATCTAGTAAGGAGCTTGGCTATCTAGTTGTTGCCTTCACAGCCTGTTTCACTGGACCAACATGCAGACAGCAGCTCTAAGAAAATAAATATCACCACATGCTATCATGCCACATGGTATATAATGATCCATAATTTCACTTGGCTGAAATGATGTCTCTTTGGTAGTCCTTAGGCCTAATTGTATTTTCTGTGTTCCTTTCCACTAGTTGGAGAAATCACTCAAGGTTGAAGTTTCTGAGTGGGAGCAAAAGGGGACTGAGTCAAAGGCTGTGTCAGATCTCCGCCGTCAATTTGAGAACGAAGAAAGGGTTTATAGGCGAAAGCTTCAGGCATATCAAGATGGACAACAGCGTCAGGCTCAACTTGTACAAAAGCTTCAGGTCAAGGTAGGAAGAGAACAGACTGCAATTTGCAGTAAGGTTGAAAGTAGACTCTCAAATCAGAAAGTGGATGTTGGACTGGAGAGAGAGAGAGAGGAATGAATCTTGTCAAATTGCAGAGAAATTGGCAACTGAGAAAAGGCAAGTGTACAATGAGGCATTTGGAATTATTCCCAAGAAACCAGACCCTGGGATCAGTCTTTATACCGTGGTGCAATCTTTTGTTTATAGCAACCATCAACAATGAAAGCTGCATTCAGAAATGTGGGAATGGAACATAGGCTTAGTGAAAAGGAGGTTGGCAATTGTGCAAATCGTTAGAGTACAATGGTGTCTCAATTCTGGGGTGTGAGGGCGTGTCCTGGAGAAAGGAGAGAATTTGATGCAAAACTCTGATGGTAGGGCAGGGTTTAATGCCTTCTGCTCAGGTGAGTTTGGTGTTTTTAATCGGGTTTGGAGCATTCTGTGTGCACCCAGCTGCTTTCTCACCTCTAGCCCAATTTCACTCTATGGTGGGAAGGCTTGTGGTCGGCCTTCCTGAGCCACTACCAGTTGATGTTATTAAATGTGCCGATAAGGACCATAAGACAGCCTGATGATAGTACTATTCACCCTGTGGCAAGTGCTGCGATAACCGTGCAGGAAACCCACTGAGCTTGCTCACAGGATTCTAGTCAGGAAGATGGGGACGATTGGTTGGATGGACAGTAGCCCTTCATTTAAAGGACCTAGCACCTGGAAGGGAGGGTCTCACTTGCCCTTATTGCTGAGCCACTCCCCACTGGCAATTTTCCTCTCTCCATGATCCTCAATCTTACCTTCCATGGCCTGGGTGCTTTGTCAATCCCCAGCTTCTCCCTGTGGTGCATTACTGGCATTAACCACAGCTGGTTGCCAGTTTATGGTGGTGGGGGTTTCTATCCCCTCACCTCCCCCCCAAAAAAACCCCAGGGTCCATGATCCTGGGAACATCCACCACAGGAGGCATATGTCACCCCAGAGGATGTGATATGTGCACTCACTGACTCTTCAGTTGTTGGACTAGACCCTAATCGCATCCCAACGCTGATGCATTTAAATACTGCTTGCAGTGTTTCCACACTACCACAATTTCACCAGTGTGGATGGGATGGGGCTTTTCTGCCCAAAACAGATTTTCAGCAAGGAGATGACTCCCAAAACTTGTCCTTAGGAAATCTTAAAGAGTACGACTGATGCAACATATTCCTTTAATATTTCTGCCATACCCTCCGAGTGCCTTGTAATCTGATCTTAAGCATCTTTCAATGGCTTGGTACTGTCCATGTAGTCCACTGCCTCATAATGCAGACTTTTCTCATGAGAAACACCAAGTCATTACTGCACAGAAGGTGGCCATTCTGCCCATCGAGTGCATCACTACCACAATTATCCACATTTTGTATTAATTAATGCAGTAGCTTGTTTTTTCTTTCGTTCTATCATTGGCAAAGCCAGCATTTGTTGCTGATCCATTTTGCCATGCAACTGAATGGCATTCCAGGCCATTTCAAAAGGAAGCTAATATTCAGTCACATTACTGTGGACCAAGAGTTCTAAGAAAGGGTAAGGATGTTGGATTTCTTTTTATAAAGGACACTAGTAAATCAAATGAGTTTTAAGAACGGAAAAACGATAATTGTCATTAATGATCACCATTGCTGAGACCATCTTGATATTCCAGATTGATGAATTGAATTTAAATCACACTCGCTGCTATTTGAGATTTGAACCCTTGTCCCAAGAACATGAACTTGGGCTTCTGGGTTAACATCTGGTGAATTTACCACCATATCACTACTTCCTGACACTTTCCTGGCACCATGTCTCCACACTGAGCTTTCTTGAACTGTTCATTGTACTTCCTCTTGTTTGCCTGGGTGCACATACTTTAAGTTTATCACTTAGTTCAGCTTTGTACAGAACCAGTTCGACAACTTGCCCTCTCTTTACCACACACTCTTCTTTTCAGTTAGCTTTTCGATGTTTTAAATTTGTCTTAAAACGGCGCCTTTTATATTCAACATCAGTTGTCCCCGGCAGAGTTGACCTGTATTTGGGCAAGATGTAAGGCATAGGCAAGTGATGGTTGGAGTTGTGGTAAGAGTAGGCAGTGCGGAATGTCTGAGCTGCAAGAGAAGGTGCCATCTGAGGTGTTGCAACGATTGTAAAGTAATGAAAGCCAGTGTGGGTGAGAGTGTTGTGAGCCGGAGGTGTGTGCAGTGCAAGTGTGCGGGGAGAGTAATTGAAATGTGGAACCTGATTCCTACTTCGACAACACTGATGAGATTACTGAATCTTTATTAGTGGTGTGACCAAATTCTGGCAACCACTTACACTGAAAACCTCAGCGAATATGTGTTGTGTGAAGGGCTCTCTTCCCCATGACTCCAACCTTGCGACCCTCAAACATGCTTGAGAACCCAGGAGTCTAATAATCTGTTTGACAAGTTTCATAATCACTTCTCTGTGCACGCATTTGAGTTCCCTCTTCCGCAAATATTGCGTCAGCTCTTGAAGGGAAGCTGGCTACTTTTAAGAATCAGAAGTGCCAGATGTAGCCTACTGCGTGCATTAAAATAGCCCCTCCGTCACACTACCACCTCACCCTCCCCCAGCCCCAAAAATCCATACTCTTTGTATGTAACATTGCTGCATTCCGAAGCGTGATAATGAGATCCCAGTGCCAGTTTAAGTAGTCACTGAGCCCACCTGAACTCTCATTTTTAGTACAATTAAATTCTTTTGGGACTTGAATTACAGACAAATGTGGCCATATTCTGATGTAAGTTTGGAGTGATCCACTCCTTTGTGAAACAGGAATTTGGTCTCAGGGAAATAAATAGTTGATTTTACAGAAATGAGTATCTCTGAAAACTTTTGGAGAAGCTTTATGATGCACCAATTTTTAAGCCTACAGCCTGCATACTTGGTATCACACTGGCACTGAAATTTATATACTATGTTACTCATTTGAATGATAGGCAGAATATATTCTTGGCTTAATAACGGCAGCCTCCAATGGGTGAACACCACTCATGTTTCTACCGCATAATAACAGCATGAAACAACTAACTTCACCTGTTGCTCACTCTGAGTTACTTTGCTCTTCCAGGGTAATCCAAGCTGCGCTGAGCAACCTTCACGACCAAAGTTCATGGGTTATGGGTATACTTTGAGAAATGATCTAATCAGGGTAGACATTATCCAGATGGTATCAAACATCGCATCCCTTTGGCTGCTCCAACCAACCCACACTTGCGAAACTCACAACAGCGTGTCCAACATTAGATGCAATTCTGTAATTGGGCAGCATTTGCTAAACGAACCTGATTGTGTTTGTCAGCATAATTCTTCACAATTTCGCTTTGTCAGTCAGGCTGTCAGTGTGGTGCACTTATGCATGCTGGAAACTATGTATATTAACACAAAGGACTATGTTCTTTGAAGACATAACATGTGTAAACACCGACTGCACCTATTTCCACTCAACCAAATAGGGAAAAACCACTATCTGATTCATTCCTCCGGACAATTCCTTGAACTATCAGAGTTAACTTGCCTGTTTAAAACTTAAACAAAACAGTTAATTGGCCATCATCTTAACTACTGCATTCTTCATGGCAAAATCGCTACCAATAAACATTCTCCTCCGTACAGTATAAATGTTGTTTCCCTTTCCTCTGGTATTTCTTGCAAATTTTCCTGAAGAGTGCAAGGTAAAAAGTTTTGACAAAATGCATCTTCTGTCCAGAGGAACGATTGGTCTGTTCAGCACACCTTGTTTATAAACTGCTCAATTCCTTAACTACTAATGAGAAGCTTGACACCAGTTAAAAAAAAGAAGCTGCTGTATTTGAGTGGGCCTGGGATCTATGGTCATAATGGTTGGAATTGAGGGTTGACATCTGAGTTATTTGGTGATTAGGTGATGTCGTTAATGGGTCCATAGAATGATACAGTACAACTGGAGGTCATTCAACCTACAATGCCTATGCAAGCCCCCAGAAAGTTTAGTTCTCAGAAAAGAACTCTCCAATAATATCCATTTCCTGTACTGCTGAAAAATATTTATTAAAGTGAATATGTGATTTCCTTTCAAAAATTAGCATTGTTTGAAAGTGTAGCGGAACAGGTTCAGTGCATTCCAGATTGGAGTAAAACATTGTATAAAAAACATTCTCATCTTCCCACTGGTTCTTTTTCTAAGAGTCTTAAATCTGTGTCCTGTGGTCGCTGACTTCTTGAATGGAAAAGATTCATTCCCATTTTACTGTATCGGGGCTCTTAATCAAATCTTCCCTTAACAGTTGCTAGGGGAGAAAAATCCCAGTTTCTCCGAGAGCCTCCTTACATGCTTCTCCAAAACACACTTTACCTAAGTTCTCAAGTCACTTTTTACTGAATTTGAAAGGGAAACATCCAAAAAATCAAATGGTTTTCATTGTGATCCAAGGTTCAAATTGTTCCAAGTATTCATTACTATAAAATGAAGCTGCCAGATATGAGTGCCAACGAATGGACTCCTGTTGGCCAAGAAGAGTCCCACAATATGAAAAGGTTATTTTTAGTCAGCGGATAAACTATTGTGGGGCTAGGTTAAGATGGCTTAAATGCCTAAAAGAACTAAAAACATTTCAAACAATCCTGATTGTTCAACAAACAAGTGCTACATTTTAATTTTGCTTATTTTCAAAAGGAATCGAGTTGATCTGGGTTTCATCGAGCTTGATCCAGTCTAATCCAAATGTAACCTTCATTAACTCACCAGCTGATGCTGTGGCACAACTCAACAGGGATTATGGTTTGCTCCTGAACAATGAATTCTTGTGCTGTTTCCATGAGCTGAGATCCAGGTTGAGGCTCTGTGGGGATAACCTCCTCACTGCATAACAAAATAAATCTGTACTGAACAGGGAATTGTGGAAAAACAAGAGTCAATGTAGTTACGAGCTCCGAGTCTTATGAGCTAAATTTGGCCCAAACTC